GAAGTTGGTGGTGTTACTGTGTGGTGAGGATGATGAGAAGGTCCAGGTTGCAGCGGCAGGGGCCCTGGCCATGCTTACAGCAGCACAAAAGAAACTCTGCTCTAAGATGACTGAAGTGGTAAGACCATAAATCTGATTATTGGCAGTGCAGACATACCCTTGAAGGGGCCTGGCTCAGTCATAAAAACACCTCTCAAAAGGAAGATACAGTCCACCAGTTTGATAGTGAGGAACTTAGTGGTGAAGCGGAGGCCTGGGTCTGCATGCTCCTAGTCCATCCCTGCACAAAGTAAGCCAGCCTGCCTTATACCAGACTTCATCTCAGAGGTGAAACATTTCTGTATAGCCATTTCTCAACCTGCGTCCCGGATGCTAACTGTCAAGCAAGGTTAGGAATGCAGGATATTATTCTATAGGCCCTTAAAGCTTTTGATAAATAACCTGCCATGCAAACCTTGTTTCAATCAGAAATGAGAAGAGCTTGATAGATGACTTGTGGAGCTTTACAGATCCTAAAACATCTCCATTCCCTGCACAGATCTGAGCTCTCAGCACCTACAGACCTTGCATAGCTGAATGTCTGTGAAGAGCGGGGGGTGAGAACGCACGAACCCTGTTGTGCTGACCGCATGATGATGTTGGAGTGAAGAGCGGTGGTTGAGAACGCATGAACCCTGTTGTGTTGCACGCATGCTGATGTTGGATGCTGGGGCTTGTTAGAATAAAAATGATGAATCAAGCCAAAGCAGGGGCTCAGGAAAATCAGTGGGGGGAGTGGGTGGTCTGCTTCTGGTCATCTCAGCTGTGTCAGTGCTCTGATGAGATTCTCTGCACAGATTATGCAGCAGCCTAAACATGAAATGTGTTTCATGTGGTGCTAGTGCCACGAAAGCTTCTGACTTTAGTGTAACAAAAATTGGGTTCAAAAGTTTGGAGTCAGGTTTCCTTAGTTACAGAATCAAATAACCACACCTGACATGAGAGTGAAGAGGTGAGTCCCTGCGCTTCCTTCTGCCGAGAAATGCCTTGCCAGACTCACATTCTTGGTTGAGGTCTTCTTCAGATCAATACTAATGATCTCTCTCTCCCTTGAAGACCACCCAATGGCTTGAAATCCTGCAGAGGCTCTGCTTGCACGATAACATGGAAGTGCAGCACCGAGGACTGGTCATCGCTTTCAACTTAATCAGCGCTGACAAAGAGCTGGCGAAGAAGCTGGTGGAGACGGAGCTCCTGGAAATCCTGACGTACATCGGCAAGCAAGAAGATGACCCCAAGAAGCAGCACATCATTAATGTAGCACGTGATTGCCTCACAAAGTGCATGGATTATGGGCTGATCAAACCTCTCTCTCGGGCATGAGGAAATGAAAAGCATCAAAACAGGCTGAATGCGGGGGGAAAAAAAAGCTACTGAGAAATGTGGAAAAGTGAGAGCCGTGAGGAAAATCTAGTGCCACTGTCAAGGCATGGAATAGTTTAGGGACAACTTTGGAGGGTCGGAAACTGTATGAGGAAAAGGGGGACAGTTGCCTGGGAAATCTGGGAAGTGTCCATCTGAGTAATTCCCAGATGGTGTAAATCCTTTCTTTGCCCCCATTCAGCTGATAATGATGAAAGCTTCCAGGCCCAGCTGTAAGAGTCGGTTGTGTTGGAAATGTGCCGGGGGGCTGTTGGAAGGAAACTCCGCTGAGCTGACATCTGTTCTGCAACCATCTACAGCTCCCGGTACTTCGGGAATTTTTAGCAGTGGTGGAACAGGGAGGGTTAAACGCCTTCTATCCTGTAGTCAGAAAATAGGTTGGGTTTTAGCTGTGTGCTTTTTTGTTCATTTATGGTATTTTTAAACAGCCTTAAGTGGTGTGCCAAAGCGTGAGGATGGTGGATGAACTCTTAATTATTAAAATTCACTACTTTGTTCCATGTGGAATTCCTGTTCTGCTTTTTTTAAGCAAATGGAGAATCTAAGGCAAGTCCCACTTGCAGCCTTGCATCGTCCCCAGGAAGCTGGAGTAATTGGGAGCACAGGCTGGATTTCCACCACCTGCAAACTCTCCAGTGCTGCTCAGAGGAACACGCAAAGTCAGCGTGAAGGGCTGTACGAGGAGGTGGCGCTCGTGGGCTAAGCCGAGGTTCACACCAGGGCACAGTGTGTGGTTCGACAGGGAATGCTGAAAAGATCTCCTTTATGGAAGAGGCGGGATAAGAAGCAAACACAGCAGTTGGCCATCACATTAACCTTTATTATATAAATATTTACATTCAAGCACAGATTATTTATGCATGTTCTGGACAACACAAAAAAATCACAGACCCTTGCTTTAGTCCCCAGGGGGAAGAAAAATCTAAGCATATAGAGTAAATACAATCTTACTCAGCAATGGTATAAATGTGAATTCAAGTGCATTAAAATATTTCTGATGCTACTACATGTCAGTGAGCCTCACATGATAGGCAGGGCATGATTAAGCGTTGAGGTTTGGGGGCTATGAAAGGAACCATGTTGATTAAAGAAAATAAAAAGAAAAGTGCCTCTACCTTCCTGGAGTTAGAAAAGCAAGAATTTTTAAGCTAAAAGGCAAATTTATTTGGAGGGTGACTCCAGCTGTGTACAATGTCTTCTCCTTACTGGAACCACACTCAGTTAAATCACTGGTGCTTTAGAATCACACTGGGAGGATATCGGACTGTTCTTCCAAACTAATTGAACCATGGGTCATTCTGTGGTGGAAAACAATGTGGTTTCTTTTCAACCAGCCTTCAATTTTGGATACCCAGTTTTAGGAATTGTGAATTTGTCATTCAAAAGTACTTTGCATCTAAGACTATTTGGAGAGTCTTATCCAACCAGCATGCCCGAACCCAAGACACGAAATGCCATGGGTATCCAAGGGTGGTTATGCAAAGTTTTCCTTCTCCCGCTACAGCTCCTCCCTGAAGCAACTGGGTTCTTCTAACCCATACTGACTGCTGCGGAAATTGAGTGGGGAAACTGCTTCTGTAAAAGCCATTTATTTGTATTTCTTGGCTAAAACACGGACAGAAGGCCTCATTTTTACTTGCCTATGTATCTGAATAGAGTCTGTCTTTTAAAAAATGGCTTCTAACACTGGATGCCTATGGTGCTTGGTAACTTTTTGGAGCAGTACTATGAGTATGGGAGCGAGCTGGTGAAAGCAGCTGGTCTGGTCTTGGCAGAGTGGCTTTCGCTCGGCAATGCACCAGGCAAAAGCCGAGCATCAGGTTTTGCAAGTCCTTGAAAGAAGCCTTCAGGGAATGATGTAATTCTACTGATGTTCAAAGTATCTCTCTTCTCTGCTTTATTGAAACCTTGCATTTGATTTAAAACAGACTGTAGAGGCTTCCCAAGAACATCTGGGCTTTTAGAGAGGACCAGCCCTTACAAAGGAAATCCTTCTACTTCAGATATAGAGTAAAAAAATTTCAAACTTACATAACCACTGACCTGTCAGGGCCTTGTTGGGATTCTATGTGGTCACCTGTTCTCAGTTTTCAAATAACAAGTGTAGATTTACATTAGCTCTGGATGCTACACACACCAATATATTTCTTGAAATTTTTTTCTTAAATGGAAAGAATCGAGGAATAATACCAAACACAATGCTGCTTTCTAAGCCAGAGAAACGACGGATGCTGTCAAGAATAGCATGCTTCCTTAGCCCTCCTGCCATTTTTCTTAATGATATATTTGCCTTCTTCATTTCTGATGCTAGTATTTCCCAATACGCTTTTACTTCTTCATCAGTGTAGCACAGAATAGCAATATCTTTCTCGGAGTAACCCTTTTTAAGATATGTACAACAATGTTTTGCCACATACTTTGCTATTCCCTTTCTGTCTAGGTGCTGTTTTATTTCAATACAGCCTTGTACAGCGTCAGCACATGTGGTTCTGCATAACAGGTTTTCCAAACGTTGTTTGGGAATATTTAGGGTAGGGTTCTTTACGATCATTTCCATCTTTTCTTTTAGATAGCTATAGATACTGTTAGCATTACGAACCACTTTGGTTAGTGACTCAACAGGATCATGCCATTTTGCTTCTGGAAGACCAGTTGAGAAGCAGTGACTTTTCTGTAAGTAGTCCAAGAAAATCCAGAAAAAGCCGGGCTCAGGGAGATGTGGTGATGAAGTTAGAGTCAAGGCTTTGGTATACCAATCACCTTCCTCATCTCGGAAATTCTGTGCTTCATCAATTATTATGTGCTTCACATGATTTAGTCGTGCCCTCAAAAAGGCTACTCTTGTCATAGCTTGGCAAATGTCTTTCTGCCTACAGAAGAGATACAAGTAGATTAAAAACAATCTCTGCATTGCAAACTAGTGGTTATACTTGATCAGAACTAAGTGAATGCCCATGATATTGAAGTCATATTTATTAGCAGATGCTCAGGATGTTGAGAAAAGAATCTGAGCCTTACTAAAAACGCATCCCAACTACATACTTCAAGCACTGCAACAGTGGTGGACCAAATAGCATACCAAATACACTAATCGGTACTCAGCTATTGAAAAATGCTGGTGAAATAACAGGATGTTGAAATGAGTAATTGGAGGAAATACTTACTGCACAAAATCTCTCAGAGGCTGGTTCTCGCACACATAAAGAACTTCCTCTTTTGTGCACTGCTGCATAAGTCTTATTTTCTTTATGATGTTCAGGGCTACTATAGTTTTTCCTGTTCCTGGTAGTCCATAAACATACAGCTTCCTAGTTTTGTGAAGATTTTCTGACAGCAGCTGGTATTGTTTGATGGTCAAGAGGTTCAAAAACTCAGAACCAACATGGTCACTTAAAAAGGACTTGAAAGTCAGCAGAGCTACTGTGAGAGCACGCAAGAGGGCCTTCAAGTTGTCACTGGTGATTAGGCCATAGTTTTGGGGATACATTTCTTGAATATTCAGATCCCATTCTTTTCCAGAGTTAATCGTGGCAGGCAAAGTCAGTAGCTTTGGTATTACACACAATTTGTGAATATAGCCCCCAGTGTTGACTAATTTCTCCTTCAGCCTCCAGGCTATGCGTCTTGAGTATTCAAACAAATCCTTTGACATATAATCCTTACAGATTGTATAGAGGATAGGTGGCCTGTCCTTGGCTATTAGGAGAAGATCACAAATTATGTGTTGGTTTTCTGGCAAGCCGACCTCAACAGCCCAGCTTCTGGAAAATATCAGAACTCCCCCAGAAAGCTGCTTCAATTGATTTGTCATTAAAAGAGCCAATGTTGGATGCTCTTGGAGGAGATCTTCACTGAGTTTTTCTGGAGTATATATTATGCTGTGGGATCTCACTAACAAGGCAAAGCAGAAGAAATGGTTAGTATATTAGTATAAGATATGCAAATCCAGCCCCCTGAAATGATTCTGTGGGAATTAATATTGGTGAAAGGCTACAAATACAGAGCGTAGCTGCCTGAAATATACCTTTTTTCCTTCTTCATTGAGATTCTTTTGCAAAGACTACTTCCTCAGGGAACTCAATCCTCATCTACCCAGGTCTCAGTCCCTTTGCTAAAAATGCCAACACAGGACCAGCTGTTGCAAACCTTGTTTAGCAGAGCTGGCGAGTAAACACAGAAACAGTAACGGCTCAATACAAAAGCCCCTGGACACCTGGCTGATCTTGCAGTACCACAGAAATGTTGGACTGTAACCAGCAGCAGACTCTCTGCTCTGGTCCCAGCCCCAGTTGCTTTATGTATTTACACTGGGCTGATTCCAAGTGACCTTCTCCTCCCATCTTTCCCATTTTTCACCCGATTGCGAAAAGATGTTGGCATGGCTGTGCTCCGTCCCCAGAGAAGTTCAGGTAGCTGAGCTCCGTCATGTACACGAGTCAATAGCTGGCAGAAGATCAGTCCTTGGGGAAGGGGGTCGTCAGGCATTTGAATGCAATGCTGCTGTCAGATCTGCAAACTATTTCCATCTCTTTCACCTGTTTAAAGAATGTCTTCAAACTCATCTTTAACCTTGACCATACCCTTGAGATTCATGTTGTAAACCTATCAGACAGTGAATGCAATGTGCAGACCTACCTGGAAACAGTTGCTTACAAAGATCATCAACATTGTCAAGGCCCCACTGTGAATAAACTGGCTTGGCAAGAGGTGGCCCCTCTGTCAGACTGAGCTCTAGCCTAAAGATCTCAGAAAACTTTGAAAGATCTGTAAAAAAAAGAAATAAAAACGTGTGATACAGCATGAGCATTTACTATCCCTCAGTGCAAGAGCCACAAGCTGTCCTCAGGCTGGTTTTAAACCTTTTGCTGCTCTTTAAAATAACAAATGCAATGCATAGACAGAAACCTTGCAACTCACGTGGACAGCAGCTGATTAGCAACAGAACGGGCTCAGGTCACGGACCACAGAGCTGCTCTTGGTTTCCTTATCTCATTAGCTGCTGTTGTGACCTCTAACTCTGTCAGTGATATCCCTTTCACTGCCCAAGAATTGGCCAACGATCCATTTATCTGTCCATAGCTCTCAGCTTATTAGACTGGCAGCAGCAGTGGAGAAGGCCCCTAAAAAGCAGGAGTGAAAGTATAGATCAAGCCTGAAAGCAAATAGCAATTTGTAAATGGCAATTGCCGTGGACTATGGCAATTACATAAAAAAAACCACATGCACTGGGGTCTAACCTCAAAAGCGGTCAACTTGAGGCATAGAGAGCTCACGCTGCAAAAGCAGGCACTAACGCTGGCATTAATAAGCTGCTAGTCACCAGGGCCTGCTGCAGCCTGAAGCAAGCATTAAGGAATGTAAGCAGCAGAAAGACAGGTATTTAGCAAGGACCTGAAGCAGTCAGACTGGTTGGTTTGGTCAGGCCCCCAAAGAACACTGAAAAGCAGGTAAGAAGATCTAAGGCAAACAACACTGCCAGGCCAGGAGCAAGAAAATAAAAGGAAATATCAAAAATGGAAAGGGATTGTCCCGGCTCTTTTGGACCTGGATCAGCAGCGGTCATCCACTCAGCCCACTTGTCTGCTTTCAGTCTACTGATGGTGCTGCCTTCCACTAGCCATGAGTCCGGATCTTCGGAAAACGCGACGCAAGTAAATGGCTGAATCTTCACAGCGCAGACGTAGCCACAGTGTTTTCCAGCCTCATTGTATACTTTGAAGATTTTGTGTTCATACTTTATCTTGTGATTACTTTCATTCCCACAGAAATGGAAGAGGGTTAATTTGTTTCCAATGGACTCGATTAAGAAACTTAATTTTTCAAGGTCCTCATCACTGCTGAATCCCTGCACTCTGCTGTCATCATCCACACCGATCCATAAATACCCACCGCCTGTGTTTGCAAATCCAGTGATATACTGAGGTAATATCTCTTTGACACGAGTAAATATTTTTTCAGTTGAATAGTGCTTAAATTCCACATCTCCTGACTCTGTGAAAGCCAGTGTCTCTCCATGTCGCAGTTGGTCCCTATTAAACCACTCGGCAACAGTGTTATTTATAATATCCATTTCTCGTTCAATAGCCCTTGTCTTCCTGATTTTAGCAGGTGGTCCTGGGCTAAGCTCTCTCCTGACTCCATCTTGCTTTGCTTTAAGGAACAAAAAAGCTTCGGTAGAGTTCATGTGAGAAAGAGAAGTGCCACATTTTGCGTACAACCCAGTACTCAGGCTACAGATACGTGGTTTTCTACTTGTAGAAGCTGTGCTTTCACTGCTCCAGGTTTTAATAAAAATCAAAAGGTAATTATCTCGCTGTTCAAAGTCCAGGTATTCTCTCCAGTCTGGAAACAAAAGAAGAGACCGAAAAGTCTCTTCTAAATCTAGTCCGATCTTATCTCTCTCTAAGTTGTAGTTTTCATTTTCAATCTCTGCTTTTACGACACCTCCTCCAGAGTTCAGCAAGGCACACACTGCACAGGCAAGGGTGTATTTTTGATCTTGTTTTGAATTTTTTGGTATCTTTTTTCTTGCTTTTTCACCAAAGCATATTTTTCCAACACACAAAACTACTTCAGGATATTTTGTTGCTAAATTAACCGAGACCTTCTGCTGTTGTTGATTGTCTTCAAGAGCCATTCTGGGCCTGAAACAATTGTAAAAAAAATTGCTTACCATTTATGCTGAAACATCAATCTTCCAAAAACTTCCAAAACCATTAGTTAAACAGTGGCCATCCTTTGAACAATAAACTCACTGAGTCACAGAGATGAGAGCAACAAGAATTTTCCTCCACTTCCAGAATAGAGTGCTTCCTTAAAACCCAAATTTGTCTCCAGTGCCGAGGGGTTTATTTTTCTGTCCTTGAGCATGAGGGGATGTAGGGACCTTGCTGCCATCTGTCCCTTTGAACACAGAAGCAGCCTCAAATAGTTTCTCTTACAGCCAGGCTAGTTGCTCCCTTCAACACCATCCCCTTACATATTCCTGGACTGCATGCCCCCTCCTCCTCCCCTGTAACGACTCAGAAAAGGCTGTGCTAAGCCTCACCTCGATCTTCAGAATCCAGTAATCTTACCAATTAATAACCAATAAATAATAAGAACTGACCCTTCTACTTTCAGCTCTATTTGGCCACCCTTACTAGTAAGGCGGCTGAATCTCAGCTGATTGCACTGGGCACTCGGACTGCAGGCAAATTCGTTGAAATGGTGGCAAACTGCATCTGCATCAGATTTAAGCCAATTCCTTAAAATGAAATCCAGCCCCCTTGCTACAGAACACATCTGTGGTACAAAAGCACCTGGAAATAAATGAAAGCGTGCCCAGAAGAGATCTCACCTGTGACAGGAACGCAGCTTATTTCCAATAGCACAAATTTGCCTTCCACATGGCCAAATATTAAGCCAGAGAGCTGCAGGGCACAAAAACTCCAACAAGCATCTTCTCCAGATCTGATTCAGGAGACAAGTTTCCTGCCTTGTTTGCCTCTCCTCTGAGTTACCTCTGCTGAGGAACGTCACTCTGCTCCTCATAGCTTTGAGTTATGGTACAACTAAAGCAGCAAGGATGTTAGTGGGGGCTAATTTTTGCTACCAGGTAGAGGAATTTTCCCATCCAGTTCCATGAGCCCCCCTCTAGCTTGCTGCAACAGGACAGCCTGGCGACTGCTGAGATCTCAGACTCCCCCGGTGTGACAGAGATAAGGACCTACCCCACCTCTTCTTCTTAGCTCTGGGCTAAAATGTCAATATTTGAAATATCAATTTTAAATCCTTAAATATTTAAGTCCCAGAGTGATGCGCAGCAGAAATGGGGTACAAAGCATCTGGAGTGTGTTAGCTGTTTTCTCTCCTGGCCCCTCCCTCTATTAAAATCTAGGAGAAACGAAACATACTGTGTTGCTGGTTTCGCTTCTTCTCTGCCGGTTTTGTTTTCTTCTCCTCCGTTTCCTGGACAAGTATCCACAGTGTCCACAGACATCACTGGATCTTTCTAGCTCTAGCTGAATTTCAAAACTTTTTTGCTGGGAGCTCAGCCCTCCAGAGCTATTACTTCCCTCCCCCTGGCACTTTTCCAGTGGTCAGAGCCTATCAGAGGAAAGAGACCATTAAAAAAAATAGTTTAGAAGAAATCCCCCAACTTACAGGATTTACATATGTCATTGCTTGTTCAGTCTGAAAAGCTGGTGTTCCATTAAACTTTTAGAGCTGCAACGTCAGAGAGAGAGTTGTAGAAGCTGGGAGTCAGGATAGCAAGCTAGAAAGTCCCGTGCAGAAGATACTCTCTGCATATCTTCATTTGCAGTATGAGATTCAATTTTCTTACCTTTTTGTAGTGACAAAGCACACTAAAGCTAATAATTTTTACTGAAATCAAGCCCATATACAACTTTCAGCTGAAATAATTAAAGTTATGGGTTAAAACTGTCCATAACTTTTCCCCATGAAAGTGATCTACGCAGGGGGCCACTCTGGAGCATCCTCAGGCGCCTCCCTCCTTGGGGCAAAATTCCGCAAAGGCACTGAGATTGGGGCAACAGTGAGAGGGCTGAGAACAGGGAAGGCTGTGGGCTTGACTGCAAAGCCTTGGGAAGCCTCGCGCAGCGGTGGATGAGTGTGCCCTGGGTATCGGCTCAACAAAGTTGTGTATTTTTTTGAGGGGTGATGAGAGAAAATGAAATAGCGCAGGAAAAGAGCAAGCTAGCGCTAGATTGCAGAAACTCACTAGCAAAACAGAAAGGAAATAGAAACATACTGTTTGTGGGCAGGATTACAGCTTCACGTACAAAGTAAAAATGCTTTTTAGCTTTTGATTCCATACTGCATAAAAGGGAGTCTCCTGCTCAGCCCCCTTGGCAGGAGCTGATGTAATACCCCCCTTCCTTGCTTTGCCCCTCGTCCTCTCCTTTCTCTTCCTCTCCCCCCAGACTCCATTCTGCTGTCCTGGGCTTCTCTTTATTCGTTACAAAGCACAATTTTTCCCAGTTGCATTTGTCATGGTTCCCACCACCAGTTACCAAAGACTTCCCTACCTTCCTTGCAGACTCCTCTGTGGGCTGCGCACAGTCAAAAGGAAACTCACAAGTGCATGGGTGGCTTTTACATCTTGAACTCCGAGCCTCCTGACGTACCTACTACGTCACGGGGCTGTCTTTGCCCCGCAGATGGGATCCTCCTCTTGATCCCGCGCAGAAAGGCCCCGGGCAGGGTCAGAGACCCCTGAAATACATCTCCCGACCAGGCACGCGTCTTACCCAGCGATGCCTCGCAAACTGCTGCCCACCAGGAGGAACCCAGTTACTGCTTTAAAACAATAGGATGAATTTACCCATCTGGCCTTCAGCAAGCGAGAGTTTAACTTCTATATTAAATCATGATGCATTTCATAGAATGTCCTGAGTTGGAAGGGACCCGCAAGAATCATCGAGTCCAACTCCTTCCAAAGCAACCTTCTGTTCAACTGTTGGAATATTTTTATTTCTCTCACAATTCTTTTTTTTGCTTTATTTTTTCCCTCTTTTTTTTTTTCTTAGTGGTTTTCACAGTGATACCACACTCACCGCGTTGGCCCTTGTCGTGGAGCCGTTGCGATACAACACGCAGGCGGGGAAGCCGAACCCTCAGGGTTGGACGGCGTTTGAGGGAGTGACTTATCAACGCATTCTGCCTCGGCTCAGCAAGTCGTGTCGCTGAGGAAACGGAAAACAGAAAAGGAAAAGAGAAAGAGGAAAGAGCTGCAGGCTGCCAAAGAAAAGCGGGACATGACCCGCCGAGCTGCCCCGGGCCTTCCCGCCTCCTCAGGGCGGGAACCGCTCGCGCCGCGCCGAGCTACGCTAACGCGCCTTCCTATTGGCGCCCACCCGGCCGGGCCAGCAGTTCCGCGCGCTGCCATTGGCTGTTGGCCTCCGAGGGGGTGGGACAAAGGCGGGCAGCTGCGCCTCGGCGTGGCTGGGCCTGCGGGAGCGTGGTGGGCTGCGGGCGGCCGGGCCCTGCGGCGCCTGGTGGGCGAGGAGGGGCTGAGGCGACCAGGGTATGGCAGCTGAGGGGTCG